CGTAACTCTACACTGATGCCCGCGATCTCCACGCGGGCGCGCGCTATTGGACGAGCGGTTCGTCACGTGACAGGCTGCGCGCGCCACTCGCGGGCGCAGCGTCGCGTGTGTTTATGTTAATCTTATGCGAGTGTGTTCGGAGCGTGTGTGCTGGGGCCCGTGTGCGTGCGAGAGAGAGCTATGAGACAGGGAGAGAGAGCGTGAGATCGAATTCTACCAATGTGACTTAGCTATCGTCTGTGATCCGTGGTGTGCGCTGCCGTGTGTGCCCCGCCCTCATCCGCCCTCCCTCCCGCCCTTCCACCGTCTTCATGTCACTCGTATAGCGTCGCCTGGCTGTGACGACGTTGACGACGGCGACGACGACGACGACGACGACGATGAGGAAGGAGCCAGACGACGGCAACAGCAGCAGCATCTGCGTCTTCCAGCCACAGTCGTGGCGATCAAACCGCTGCCGGAAGTGCTTCCGGACGGAGGCCGAGCACGGCCGACCGGACTCGAGTGACCAGCCGACAACAGGCGACGTCGGCGGCGGCGGCGGCGGCGGGCATGCCGGGGCGGCGGAGGTGCCTGCCGTCGTCGCCGACAAACACACGGATGGGATGTCGGCGCGGGAGCGAGGAGATACCGACGGGAGGAAGCGAAAGTTGCGGCGCGTTAAGAAGGACGCCAAGCGGTCGCCGTCGCCTCCCCCGCGCCACACTCCCGGCTCGCCACCCTCCTCGGACGACGACGAGGAGGAGATGGGCGGCGATGGCAGTGAGTCAGCGGCATCGCAATGTGAACAACAACAGCAGCAGCAGCAGCAGCAGCAGCAGCAGCAGCAGCAGCAGGCAGGCAGCGCCGCTGAGCACGCTTCATCCCAACCGGAACCGCCCTCTTCCCATTCCGGCAGCAGATCGCCGAAGCGTCCGGCGAGGAAGAAATATCCGCGATCCGGGAAGTCCGGGGCGGCGGCGGCTGGAAGCGGCGGTGCGGAAATGACGTCACGGCCGACTTCGGGAACGTCGGCAACTGGATCATCTGCCGACGACGACACGTAAGTGAAGCTCGTGCATGTTCCGACGCCAGGGGACGCGCGGGACGGCACTAAACGTCAGTGGGGAATGCCATTGCCACATGGAGAGGATTAATTATGTGAAATGAAAAATAATTTAAATCGTGTAGCTCTGTGGTAGCCGCAGTATATATATATATATATATATATGTGTATGTGTCTGTGTTATATAATATAATATATATTATTAATTTATTCAAATAATAGAACTAAATTGGATTCGCCCTGTTATACATACATAAATAATATAACACAGCCCTATATTATAACTGCGCTATATTTGCATAAATAATAGATTTAAACTAGATAACGTCAGGCAATAGCAGCTGTGTACCTTATATATATATGCATGAATAATACAGCATGGACTTGACATGTAGTGGATTCATCATTTACGAGGCAATAACGCAGCGATAACACGCGCTTCATGTTGCAATAAACGTAAGCTCATACACAGACGCCGTTGAATAGACTGCCAATGGGAAACACCATTATCATCGATCACGCTAGGTCGTCGCATGAGTTTACGCCGCTAGGTGGCAGCCTGGAATCCAGCCAGACGTCATCACCGTAATCAGTCAATTATAAATTACCGCGGACAATATGCTGACAGGAAAAACTACGGCAAAGCTGGTGCAGTTTCTGACAGCAGAAATACTTCAAGACATAAATGAGTAAAAGAACCCGTACTGTATGCACACACACACACGACGCACACACGCACGCACACACGCACACGCACCACACACACACACACACACACACACACACACACACACACACACACCACACACACACACACACACACACACACACACATGTTAGGAGTCATGCACTTATCTTATATGAGAATTACTCGCACACTCTCCACGATTCATTTCATTCCATACTTAAATAAGATAACTTATCTCACTATATCTCACTAATCTCACTATATCTCACTATATCTCACTATATCTTATAAGAATTATTTTCGAATACGAACTATTCTAAGATAGAAAAATCATCAAACAATAAATTTGTAATCACCAGCAACGTTAACGACGGTAACTGCTCTCACTTCGCCTTTCATGGTCAATGTCGCGTCGGTGCGATGCAGATTGTCGCGTCGGTGCAGATTCTCGCGTCGGTGCGCATGCAGATTGCCTTCCGCAGACCCTTTATTGCGTATTTTTACTCGTGATTTTTCGCGCGGTTCGTCTGCTGATGGTAATGCACGTCACGCTCTCCAAATTATCGACGAGTGAGCAGTTTATGAGTGGCATCCTTCAACTCCACTTCAATTTCCTTCTGCCGTGTATAATGGCCGCGTAGCAACGGGTAAACAAACTTCTGCAAACAGCGAGAATCGCGCTTAACGATGAAGTCTTGATGCGATAACGATGTGTGGTGATTCA